TTTTTTCTTGGACAAAGTCATTATTTGTTCTCTAAAACACTGGTCGACAATAACAAAATCAATACAAATTCAAAATAAATATTTGTTTACGTTATTAACGCATGCGCAATGAGAGATAGTGTCTGCGTTGGACCGACTGCTCATGCTGAGCTAACAAAAAAGTATTTTTTTGGCGTCAGATCTACGTCAACTTTCCGCTGACGCCCAGATAAGGCGTTAGTTCTAAGAAACCAGACCTTGAGCTAACAAACCAGTATTTTGTTGGCGTCAGCGTGACGTTGACGTCCCGCTGACGCCCAGATAAGGCGCTTGTCCTAAGAAACCAGACCTTTAGTCGGGAAGTTAGTTTAAAACAGATTACAAAATTCCACCCGGACAGACATACACGAAGGCAAGTTTATATAAACGTGGTAATAAAATAAATATTAAAAATTAATTTTTAAAAGAAAATAGAAAAATATGCAGGCAAAAGTTTTAAAATCTCAATTAAAATTTAAAATAGTAGAAGAAAACTTCTGTATGAATCTAAAAAAATCCTATCTAACCTTGACATTTCGAAACTGTCTTTTCGTAGACATTCGGCATACTACATCCATTTCATTTCTTTATTAGTTTCAGCCTCAATTATATGAGGGGTATCGTCACATTAATCAAATGTAGAAAATATATATCAGCCTAAGAACTGAAGAACATTATAAAAAGGCCAAAATTCAATTTATATGAGTTCGATTTCTAACAAATTTAAAATTAATCCAAGCATGCATTTAATTATTTTTTCACGCAAGCGTTTTGAAAATGCGTATTTGGACCCTTTGTATCCGTAATAAAAACATATTTTGTGTTTCAAAGATTTTAATTCTGGCAGATAACGATCATGAGCAATTTTTTGATAGAACAAAGCATTTGCTGACTGATGAATATTTTGACAGTCCTGATTGATTTTTACATTTTATACGAAACTAAAAACTGTTTTGGTTTTCTTATACTTTGTTTACAATTAAGGTTTAAAAATAAGTTTTGAATTTTAAACTATGCATTTTAAAATAGCATTCTTTTTGTATGTTTCATTTATGAATTGCCCATTTATAGTTTAGAGCATTTTCAACGAAATGAAGTAAATTATTCCCGTACATGATTTTGTTCTTGAATAAAGCATTTGCTGATAGGCTTAACTGACTGATTAGTTTGACTGATGAAAACTTTCAGCAGAATGATGTATTTTATTCATTTTTTTATGCTAATGGAAACTTTTTGTTTTACCTAATATTTTATGTAGGTCACGGGGGCTCAGGGGATAGAGCATTCATCTCCCGAGAAGGAGAGACAGGTTCGAATAACAACCATGGCTGGTTCTGCTTCCTGTTCGCACCGATCACAGTGCTGACGTA